AGAGAGAGAGAGAGAGAGAGAGAGAGAGACAGAGAGAGAGAGAGAAGGACCAAAGGGGGAGGGAGAGAGACAGGAGACCCAGGGAAACACTTTAATAATGAGCTGGAACTGGAGGGACACTGGAAAGTCCAGCTTTTGCCGAGAGTCTGACCGGGCACCGAACGGTCTGATTTGCCGGCAGACAGAACAACAGCAGCCTCCACCAGACAGACAGGTAGACAGACAGGGAAGCATCTAGATGATCAGCACTGCCATGCAGGCAAACACCAGAGAGGCACTGACACATTCCTGCCGCCACCACCAATACAGATGACATTTCATTGACTAAAACACCTTTACCCAGCAAAAATGCACCCACTGTATTCACTGAGACTGTTCAGAGCACAGTGCACCCCACTGCATTCACTAAGAGACTGTCCCCAGCACATTGCAGCCAACTGCATTTACTAAGAGCTCATCCCCAGCGCACTCCACCTCACTATATTCACTAAGACACCATACACAGCACACAACACTTCATTGCATTCACAAAGAGACCACCGACAACACACAGCACCCAATGCATTCACTAAAAAAAAAAAAAACATCCCTAGCACACTGCACCTCACTGCATTCACTAAGAGACCGTCCGCAGCAGACTGCACCTCATTGCATTCACTAAGAGACCACCCACAGCACACTGCATCCCAATGCATTCACCAAGAGACCGCCCACAGCACCTCACTGCATTCACTAAGAGACCACCCACAGCACACTGCATCCCAATGCATTAATTAAGAGACCAACCCCAGCACATGGCACCTCACTGCATTCATTTAGACACCATCCCCAGAGCACGGAACCTCATTGCATTCACTTAGAGACTGTCCGCAGCAGACTGCACCTCATTGCATTCACTAAGAGACCACCCACAGCACACTGTAGCCCAATGCATTCATTATGAGACCACCGTCAACACACTCCATCCTAATGCATTCACCAAGAGACCGCCCACAGCACCTCACTGCATTCACTAAGAGATCGTCCACAGCACACTGAACCTCACTGCATTCACAAATATACCATCTACAGCACACTGCATCCCAATGCATTCATTATGAGACCACCCACAGCACCCCAATACGTTCACTAGACCATCTCCAGCACCTCACTGCATTCACTAAGAGACTGTCCAGAGCACACTGCACCCCAATGCATTCACAAAGAGACCATCCCCAATACACTATACCTGACTGCATTCACCAAGACACCATCCACAGCACGCTGAAGCCCACTAAATTTCATAAGAATGCACATTTGAAGCACCAACAGCCGAGCTGTTTCAAATTGAAAGACCTGTTGAGTGGAAACTTGTGAGTGTGATAATCCCACAGACATGTAACTGCCAGAGAGAACACAGGGCAAATGCATGCCGCTGTAGTGTGAGCAGGGACGGACACACACACACAGTAACCCCCAGTGGGGCCAGCATGTCTACTGCTCTCCACAAGCCAGTACCCAAAACCTAAAGCAGAGAGCCATGAGAGCTCAGACACACATACGCGCCTGCACAATACCACAGGCGCACGTACCCACTGCGAGAACGAGTAAGGTTTTGGTTTCATGTCTTTCTTCCCCCTTATTAATCACAAAACCATCTGAGGGCACCCAGAGTTCAGATGAGGTGGGTGGGTGGGTGCTGATATGAGCAAGCATGAGCCAGTCGGGCTCGGAACCCCTGCTGGAAGGCAGCACCTCCCGTTTGAGCACGCGGGACTATGTTCCGTTCCCAGCACCACAGCCGGACTCAGCGAGACATCTGCGAGTGTGGTGCTCAGAGGTGATGAGAAGCTGGTGTCGGAGCCCAGCGCACACCCATATATGGGCAGCTGGAGCCCTGCTTTCCCTGCAGCCGCTCCCCCTCTCTCCCGGGGCGCTGTGCGGACACAAGGCAAAAGGGACCATCCTTCCAAGTCAACATATTTACATATTTGTGCCGATGCTGTGATATTTGTACAGGACCAGCGGTTCTGAAGCCAGGCCGGATGTTACAAGCTAACGACTGCATCTGCAGGCACATACCAGTAAGCCGCCCCCAGTTCACACTGGGACCCTTCACCCCAGTTTGTCCAGGGCTCCCCCTGGATCCTAATCCTACAGCAACTCCCACTGCAAACACCCACCCAAACCCAGAATGGTCTGGTGCTGCACCATAGCAATGTTGCTAGGGAAACATCCTTGGTGTCACTGAAGCACAGGATGCTGCCCCCCCCCTTGCCCTAACACAGGGGCCTCATATCATTTATTTAGCTCTCAAGATGTGCCCTAGTGCCCACGTAGGAAAACCCCCAGCGAATGTGGTGCTACCACGTGCCCACAAAGCCCTGCAGGGTACAACAGCCCTGGCAGCTGGCGTTTGTCTCAGCCCACGGGGAGAGCCTGCTCACCAGGACGCCGGGCGCGGCTCCTGTATATTATTATTACTTTTTTTTGTTTTCAGTTAAAAATCTGGGGTCTAGGAACTCGGACACAGCAAAACACAAAGGGAGTATGGAGAGAAAGAACGAGACCGAGCGAAAGAGAGAACACAGGCTGTCTCCTGGGTGCCCTTCCTGTCTGCCCATTTCCTTCGCATCTGGTGTGTGTTTGTGAGGCAGAGTGCAGAGCGCAGGGAGACGGCCCGGTCTGGGGCCCATTAATAACCAGTGATTTATAGGAAGTTTTATAGAATAATACAATAAAAATGTGTGTGCAGACGAGCGCGTGCTTGTTTGGAGTATGTGTGCGTACCCACCTGGGGGGGGGTTCGCGTGACCATGCATAAGATGATTGGCGAGCAGGGGTGTGTGTGTGTGGTTGTGTAAGAGCCCGAGTGTGTGATCATGCCTATGTGGGTGTGTGCGCGCGGGAGTCTGTCTGATTTCAGGGAATAAAAAACAAATTATTGCAGGAAAAACCCACATCTCTGTGGTTAACCGGGTACAGGCAGGCCAGGAGGGAGGGAGAATGGAGGTCTGCAGGAGGCCAGGGGGTATGCAGGCCGTGAATGTGGGGTCTGGAGGACTGGGGGGGGGTGCAGGTTAAGGTTAGGGCTGAGGGAGCTTTGGGGATTGGAGGTCAAAAAAGGAGGGGTGAATGGGAGGACTGAAACCAGGATCCAAGTTCCTATGCCCCCCGCAAAAGAGGAGACTACGCACACATCTGGGGGAGCAGTAAATGGATCTGTCTGTGTGTGTGTTTGTAGGGCCTCCCCACCAAAGATCCTCATTACTGTCAGTATCACTGAGCATTCTGGCTATTTTTCAAAGGCAGCATAGAATCAATGTACTTATTATGCTTCAGCAACATAACAGCAGCAGGTGGCACAACAGTTAAGGATACATGGATGGGCAATGCAGGGCTCAGCCATAGGGCACACACAACCCCCAGCCCTAATGCAGTACTCTGCAGTGTTAAAAACCAGCCTTCTGAAAATATTAGTTCTAACCTACAGCATTATCACCGGAGGTAACAATCAGGTTTTTAAGTTTCTTAAATGTCATACTTTCCAAAGAATGCAGGTGGGGCCCAAAAACTTGTGTCCCCCATTTCTTACCCCCAAACCAGGCAGGGAGCCACATTCCCACTGGAACAGACCAACACACTGATTCTACAAAGCATTTCAGGTCAAACAGCTGCTACTTCTGTGGACACTTTAAGAGGCTAGAAGCAGGTCCAGTAAGGACCTGTAACCTGCAATCTGTCAAAGGCTCACATCCGGGACCACTGACGGGTTACGTCACTGTTACCGCTGTGACATCCATGCCACGAGGAAGATGGACGCGTGGAACTTCATCTCTCCAGAAGAAACTGCCTGCGAGACCGGCATGGCTGCCCTGTCCCCTTCAGAAAATGGAGTGTACTGGCTTCTGGGCCCAAACACGGAGAAAACCAGCCATCCAAACAACCCCAGCAGTGTCACCCACACACATATTTTAGCCTTATGACACCCCTGTATTCATACAGAGAAACATGCAATGGAAAATGAAGAAGATATTACCCAGGATGCACCGTCAGAGACACGGAGCCAAACGCGCATGTCGTCAGACAGAGAGAGAGAGACAGAGACACACGCCTTTGGCTGGATGGCTAGCGAGGGAAAAATATGTAGAGGATGACTGACAGCAGTGGCCACAAGCAGCTGCTTTCGGGAAAAGCACAGAAACCCAGGTGTGTGTGTGTCTGCATGTCCCCATACAGGGATGGGGTGCACACAAGGTGGTGGGAAGCGTGTGTACGTGTGCAGGCGCGCATGACTACGCGTCTGTGGGAGGAAGCTGCGGTGTGTGCGTGCGTGCATGTGAACGTGTGGCACGGCGGCCAGCTTCAGCAGTGCGCAGCGGTTTCACTTCTCCTAAGAAAACGGTGCCGGGACAGCAGTTCACACGGAGGTCAGGGTTCGAGGTCAGGCCATGCCAGCACTGCGAAATGTGAGTGACGCACGCTGATCTGCAGTTAAAGGGAGCGCCGTGCGTCCGTCACCATGCGGCTCGGCGTGCTGCAGTACCCACCCTTGCTCTGGGCATTGTGCACAGCAAACATGTTGATGGTGACGATCTGCAGCATGCGGGAGCTGCCCAGTGGGCTGGGGCTGTGCTGGAGTAGAGCACGGAATTCCTGCAGGACGCGGCTGGCCACCATGGGGAACGTCTCCAGGCTGTAGGCCACAGAGAACAGAGAGCGCGCCGATCAGATGGCACGTTCCGTTGGCACAGGCATGGGATCACCAACCCCGACACTCACCCCACTCTGGTGAACAGCTTCCCGTGAGTGTGAAGGAAGCTCAGAACAAATCTCTTGTTCAGCTGCAGAAATAGAGAGATTTAAATTACATCTGTGATATAAAGCAGAAACTTCAATCACACTGTTTATACAATGATTACTGAAACTATAACAAGGCTCTTGTTAATCCGATTTCTGATTTTCCTCTTTCAAGACCTAAAGATTGAACACTCAGTGGTTTAATGAACGGTATACCATCACGATGATCAATTAATTACAGGAGAAACAGTGACTTAAAACACTTTGAATCTGCATTAAACACAGGTGAAGCATAAAATAACTATAGAATCATTCTCAGAAAAGCACAGGGCGCCTGGACACAGTGGGTGAGGACAAGAGGGTCTATAAGCTGTCAATCACTGCACCTGCCAAATCAGCAGGGAGCCATAAGCTGGAGGGGTCAGTCACTGGGTCAGAACATACACAGAAATCTGCAAAGAAATTGAAGTTATATGCCCTGCTGAATTTTCAGACAAAGGAGGAACCTGCCCTCTGGTGGCTGACATGCAAAATGCACACACACTGACTTATAAACCAGATCAGAATAAACACAGATCAAACTATTGTAGGACCAAATAAAGTATTTCTTTAACCTGCACCACAACACCACAGTAAAACCACACTATTATTGCACATGCTCAGTACAGCGAGTGTGGCTTTGGTCTCATCTAACCTCCTCTGAGGTGGAAAGGAGGAAAAGAGTGTTCATAGTGCAAAGGAACGGAAATATAAAAAGGGAGCCTCAAAAGAGGGGCCTGTTTCTGTCCCAGCATCACTTTGGACCAAAGAACATGATACAGTGACTGAAGTCACTGAACTAAAGACAGTGAACCAAAGCTACACAAGGAGGAGAGTCACAGGCCCCCCCTCAAAGAGCCTACCCCCCATAAGCCAAGCTGAGAGACAAAGGCAGGGGATTCCAAACAAACGGGGCCGCCTGCGATTTATGTCAAGTGGGTAACTTGTGGGCACTTAAGCAGCACGGACACACTTTCGAAATGGCTGCACTCCAACGGAACTATTGTCGTGACGTGTCATTTATCCCGAGGACAGCGGCGTGCGGCAGCTCGTCCTATATTTACTTTAGAGCCTCCATGATATTACCGTGAGATACGAGCGTCCCCGTAAATGATATACACGCGTGCGACTACATATACTTCAACATACTCCAAACTGTCCCACACGCAGTTACTGCAGCACAGCAGGCTGTTTGTCAAGGTGCAAATCCCTCTGCTGCACCAGGCGAGGCCCCCCGGCCCCAAAATGAAAACACGCTGCCGCTTATGACACTAATTACAGCCATTACAGGCAGCGGGGCCAGGGTAGCATAAACAGTGGTGCAGCATTTAAGAATAAATCAACTGCCGCCGGTGGCAGCGCGTTGTATTTTAGGAAGCCCCACACCCGCGCTCCGCGGCTATTCCTGTGCTTGCCGGGGGAACGGGTGGGGTGGTTGCCACGGCTACAGCACAGCAATACCAATACCCATCAGCGTTGGCGGCTGAGGTGACCCATGACCCCCTTTAAATGCTCATCACATAGGTGCTAGTGCACGTGTGAGCCAAGTGTGAAGAAAGACCTGTTATCCTGATCCTGATAACCTGATCTCCAGACTGCGCTGAGGTTTGGCATTTACACTCCCCACCGGCTCTGGCTACTCATGAGGTGGCCATTGAGGGGAGGCACGAGCTGCAGGGCTGCGTGCGAGAGCAGCAAGCCACCACAGGAACAAAGCAACAGCCTGACACCTCGCCATGCCCTTATCGGCGGGCCGCGCCGCTGCCCGACACCATCGCAGTGTGTGTGGCTTTTATTAGCTTGCCATGCGGTCAGGCGGTGGGGCATCAGGAGACCGAGCAACACAATGGATTGGATCCCAAAAGGGGAAGAGGACAGAATGACAGAAAGCCTTTCAAAGGGGACAGTGTGGCTTAAGGAGCCAGCCTGGCAAAGCACCCCCCCCCCCCGCACAGGTGGACGTGGCAGGGAGACCACTGACCGAGGCCCCTGCTGGCAGCGTCAGCAGATGAGGAGCTCAGATAAAGGGCTTTGATGAGCTCCACCCTTCCCTTGGTTGCTTGGCACAATTGGACTGACACTCAGATAAATGCTGATCACACACACACAGGTGCGCGCACAAACACACACACGGAGGCGCGCACAAATGCATGCACCCATGCACAAACACACACAGATGCGTGCGCACAGACCAAGACACATACACCTGGAGATGTCAGTGTGATATGTGCACATACAGCAGCTAACAGTGGTTTCTGAACACAGAGCCACAGCGTCGCAGCTCTGCCAGGACTATTGCTGTAATAATCGAGCAAACACCTATTTTATACTCTTTTTCTGATTTGTTTATCGAGGAGGGGGAATTCTTACTTAATAAGCTGGACATTTTGTGGGAGCAGCTCAGATTCAACACCATATATTTGCACTGGACTACTTATTGTATGGGTGCGTGAACATGGACGTGAATGCCAGCACCCCATCTGCACTGCCCAGTGCACGAGCTACAGATCCCAAGAGCTTATCATCAAAAAGGAAGAAGGCAAAGGCAACAAACCCCCAGAGTTTTTCTGCACAGAGCAAGATGGCCCTTCGCTTCTGACAAACAGCTAACCACAGGCGGAGTTCACGGCAGTGCCTTCAAAGATAGCATGGTGTTCAACAGTGGTGCCCAAACATAGAGGCATGACCAGTCAGGCCACTGGCAACCACATCTGCTCTCTACAGACATGACCGTCACTGTGACAGAGGCTCCTGGGCTGCAGAGGTAATGGCAGTGGACTGAGGGGGAGGACTGGGCGATGCGTCGAAGCACACGGCACAGGCTGGACACAGAACAGGCCTACAACACGCAGCAAGGTGTTAATCCTAAAAGGTGGCATTCAGTCGTTAAGCACCAGCTCATGTGCAACGTGCTTTACAGCACCCTCTTGAACATCCGGGTCACACGAAAGTACAGGTTGATGGGCAACTGCCACCCCATGCTGTCCTGCCCCTGCCCAGTCAAATAGCCGGCAGCAGGGCCACGAGGCTGAGAGGGTGTTGGAGGATGCGTCTAACAGCATCACATGTACCCACTTCCCCTCAACTATTTATCAGCCTTATGGTGAAAGTTTGCACACAAACACACAGATAAATAAGCACATAAGACACAGACACCACCGAAAGGAGACGTGCAGACAGAGATGACTGAAATTCTCAGGAAGAGACAGACACACGCGTTCAGGAAACACGGCCCTGCAGGTCTTCGCTTTTTGATGCTGCTTCTGTAAAGGAGGACAAAGAGGACAGCAAAGCCTGCTTTGTACAGCACGAGCGGTAAGGGAAGGCGCAGCAAGCAGCAAGAGAGCGGCACACGCATAGACCAGTCTGAGATCCCAATCTGTAACTAATTCTGAAAAGATATGATTAGCATAACACCCCCCCCCAGAGGCACTCTGCAAACACCCCAAGATGAAAGGTACGTGGAGACAGACGCTGGTTTTAGATTGTATCATTTAGCCGTATGCGCCCATATTTCTTCTTGAAAAGAAGCTGTGACATTTACTGCAGGAAGGAGGCCTTCCAAGGGTTTCAGGGCATGGCAGCTGCAGGGGGAAGGCCAGCGCCTGGACGCCACTGAGGATCCTGGGAGCGAGACCCCAGCCATTGCCCTGACACGCTGGGAATGGGGGGGTGAGCCACCAGAGCAGGGGGAGGAGGGGCGGGATGAGTCTTCACCACCTCCACACACCACAGGAGCTCTAAGACAGAGTGTGTCATCTCAGCCCATGACAGCCAGCTCTAAGACAGAGTGTGTCATCTCAGCCCATGACAGCCAGCATAATGGCTGCTCCTGTGGACAGTGGGGAGGGACGGGGACAAACAAGCGAAAGCCCTACGCAGCCGATCAGGAGTCTGCTTCCGTATTTGAAGTTTCGTTTCACATTAATATTTTTTGCATGTAATCATGCACTTTGCCATGTGTTTTGAGTGTCTTTGGGCGACTCCCCCCTCCAAGTTCACAGAAGGTAAGCCAGCGACAACTGGCACTACAACAACACGCTGGCAGGCCAGACGTGGCTAGTTTCTTTCCACGTTACTGCATTACTACACAGGGCCCAGAACAACACAGAGCATGGTGTCAAAGCAAGCATATTATACAGAATTCTACCTAAGCGTAGGGCGGCATGGTATCACACTGCAATATGATTGTGAAATGTGCAAGTGCACAATAATTATCAGGGCTTTAGACGACAGGTTTTTTTAGTACTATACGACGTATCCTTATTAAACTAGGTTAACAAGCCACATACTACTGGTTTGGTATGACATGGAAGCGAAAAGCATTGAAGTGGCGGTAAAGACAGACACCTCAGCAGCCACGTCTTTTAATAGATTAGATATTGTGGATAAACAAGGTAAAAAGATATCAGTGGTTTGGTGGTACTTTTTGCAGTTTAAAGACAAACATTTCTTAAACATAGGGATACACCGAATTCATACAGATTACTAACTTTTGGGTGTCACAATACAACTCTCATCAATATTTTGGGCGTACTACTAATCTGCTTAGGAAATTGTGGGTGTTAGTAAATGTCTGTATAGTACTGAAAAACTGCCGTCCGGACAAATTTTTATGCCCATCATCTAAAGCCCTGTAATCACATTTGTCGGCACTCGAGGCAATACCACCAACTTATGTGACACACTATTAGGAGATAAATTCTGTTTGGTTTATTTTGGGTAGATTTTTTTTATTTGGGTAGTTTTATTTTATAGATATGGACTATATGATTACAGGGCTTCTGTCATACTGTCTTTTTAAAATCAGAAAAGTAGTGTTTCGATACACATTGTGGCGAAATGGAGACAGCACGCGTCTTTGCTGTGCAGTGACTACGTGGGGTTGGCAAGGTAAACAAAGGTGGGGGCTGCTTCTTCATTTCTTTTTATTCTGCTGGTTGAACTGAAACTTCATGATGAGCACACCGCAGAATATGGCGAAAGCCTCCTTCTCTGAACTGAAGGGCAGCCCAGCCAGGCGCAATGAGGTGAGGCCACGTGCGCGCGTGGCTTCCCCCGCCCCTGCTCTCTGCGGGCCGCTGCCAGGGCCAATCCCCCCCCCCCCGATTCGGCCACGTTCTCATCACCATTGCACCAAGCGAAACAATACACTGCTTCTGCCAAACAGCCGAGACACACACACACACAAAGTGTCACAAATGCATTAACAGGGTTCTCTCTCATTCACACATCCCTCCCACGAAAACACATGCATGAAGGGATACAAATACCCAGCCCCTGCTTACAGACACACCCTGACATGAGACTTAACACAAAGAGCCAGGGAGGCCACACTCAGGTATCAGAGAAACACCCCCCCACATTGAAAACAGTGGCAAACAGACAACAACCCTGTGAACCACAAAAAAAACCAGATCAGCCAAGTCATGAGAAATCTAGTTAGGCTCTCTATGGTAGGACAGCTCATCAACCATCGTCCCAGCAGGTGTGCAGTACACATGGGTGACCCAACGCTCAGACCCCAAGCTTCACCCACACCTGTATGCATGTGGATGAAGAAGAGAGCATTCCGAAGTACCCGCACTAGTCCGTGTACAGACGGCAAAGAAAGCTTCCTCTCATTTCACTTCATTAACACACTGTGTCACATGTCCTGGGGCCACAGCCTGTCAGTGAGGGATCTGCTGACAAGCCCCTGAAAGGGCCGGACGCGGCCGCTGACTGCAGGCTACTCACGTCGCTGGTGCTCAGGCCCTCGAGCTCGCCGTCGCGCTCCACCTCATGGCCGGACTCGCTTGTCGTGCGGGATGTGGCTGCCGGTTGCCCTCCAGGACGCACCCAGATCTCAATGCGTGCGGGCTCCTGTCCGCGCCGGCCGCCCCCTCGGGGGCCCCTCGATGGCCCCACTGGCTCCAGGCGATGCCGCTGCTCCAGCTGCTCAGCCTGATAGGAGGTGGGGAACCATTGACCAGAGATCGACAAACGAATCAACACCAGTGACCAGAAAGGAAACATTAGTGACATTAAGCAAAAGCATTCCTGCCTGAAGGGGCACAGGACCTTTGGGCTGCAACCAGAGCCACGCAGACGCACAGGTGATGCAGAGACCTACAGCTGCAGAGGTATGCTACGCTAGCATGACCCAAACGGGCTTCAGCTGGGGTGACTGCAAAGCCTGGCCTGTGCAGTCTAAGCACTGCAGCCAGCCAGCAGCAGCCTAGATCGTAACCTTTAATCGCATCCTCCTGTCCCAGCCAGATCTTCTCCTTCCCGTGGCAATTAAGATCCCAAATGAATGCTGTATTCACTTATGGTGCACAGAGTGGTTTGTGGGAATAGCAGGACTGCCATGGAACCCATCAAAGGCTGTCCACTCTCTCACAGACACACACACACACAGACAAAAATGCACACTCTTCTCAAGCATCACACCACCTGCTGGTGGTTTACTGCATAGCACCCAAAGCCACAAAACCAGCTGCCCGCCCACACCTTTCGCTTTGTCTCCTCAAACAGGCTCATGAGGCTCTCCTTGGCTGTCAGGATGGGGTTGCTAGCGGCCAGGCTGCGCATGTAGTAGTACACTGCATCCAGCTTCCTCTTCTGTGAGGCGGGGGCGGGGGGGCATAACATGCCGTTGATTTGTGTGGGAAAGCAGAAGAGAGACGTGAACAAGAGATATAAACAAAGGAAAAAGTCAGAAAAAAAAAATATATATCCATCCAGCGAGTTTCATTCTATAGGCTTACACTGACACCTAATGGCAAACTGTGAAACAGCTGCCAGAACGTACCTCCTGTTTAGAATTCGGTCCCAACAGAAGTTAAAAGAACGAGGGATTAACTGCACCGTGCTTTCGATTTTTACATGCTTTGAGATGAGCGAAACCCACCATTCGGCACGTGACTCCAGTAGGGCACAAACACTCACCGTGTACACGGCCAGTAGAGCCAGCTGGTTATACGGGCGTCCGTTCTTTGGTGCAATGTGCTGGGCCTTCAGGTACCAACTGCGGAGAGAGATGCTTACTGTGACCCAGAAGTGCACAGACATGCTTCCTCATGTCACCGCCCTCTGCACTGTCCCACTAACTGCTGATGACATCTTCAGGTGTGCTTACCTGCGCGCTTTCCCGTAGTTAGCAGAGTCACTAGCCTGCTCTCGATACCTGGCGATGTCACCCTGGCAGATCATGCATCGCTGGGCGCTGATCAGAGCGTACTTGACCTATGCACACACGACCAGCATAGTGTCACCAGCACGACAGACACAAAACAATAAACACCACTCAGACCACATGGCGGGACGTCTAAAGTACTGCCATTTTTCATTTTTGTTTACACACAAATGGTCTCACTCTGCAGAGATAAATACCCACTTAGCAAACCCTGCAAGCACAACAAAACATGCCATGCAGCCAAAGTGGAACCCTTTTTTTCAGATGGTGGTGAAGCAAGCCAATTGTGGAGAAAACCAAATAGCCAGTCTCCGACACAAGCTGCATTGAAATCGAAAGGGAGTATGAAACTACTGTCTCTGGTGGTGGGGGCTAGACCCAGGACTCACAGCTCAGCAGGGCCTGATACACTAACACAAAACTCTGTTATGAGCTTTCACAGGGTGACATCAAAGCTGGACCTCCTGCATGCTACAGCAACAGCACCTGCAGTTTCATAAAACACTACAGACACCCTACAGCCATAAAGGCATGCAGATTAGCTAAAATGCCAAACACAACACCATGCTCGTGGCCACACTTGCAGAGCGCCATCTTATGGCCGTTTGCCGAGGTGTCCACTTACAGTCTTGCGGAGAGGCCGGGCACGGATAGCGACACCGTCCATGTAATCTTCCAGCTTGAACTGGAACACCACCTGCAGCTTCTGCAGCAGGGCATCGAAGAACACCACTCCCTTTGGGAAACACACCGGAGCACATCAACCGGCAGGCATTCGATTAACTAGTGATCCAACAATCCGTGCAACAAAGCAAAACCCAACTGAAAACAAGGTACCCCTTCCAAAAGGACAGAACACACTGTCAACAACACAAAAAAAACCTCTGGAAAGCCCAGCTCTACCTCATCCAGAAGCGTGAGGAGCATTTTCTTAATGCGGGACTCGTCATCCGTCGTCGACTCCCTCAGGAGCTGCCGAAAGCGCTCGATGACCTGGTAGAAGACATTTTTCCACAGGGCCTGGTCCAGGTTCTGCGAGTCCGAGAACTCAATGTCCGTCAAGATCACCCGCTCATACAACGTCAGGAGCTCCGCCCTGGCAACAAGAGACAGGCAGACAAGAGAGTGTTTGCCTCATCTGGAGATTCAAGTGTCAAAAAGGGCTTTTACTAAAACACTCATGACAATCAGCATGGGACACATCAATCCCCAACACCAGCAGGCAACGAACATATTCAGCCAAGTAATTATAAACTGCGTAATTACCAACATGTCCCTTGCTGATACATTTAGTGTGGAAAAGGGGTGAAAACTTTCAGCAACAAAACACTAACGGACAATAAAATGTGTTTAAAACATGGCCGGCAGGACAGCATTTCTGGTTAGTGTAATTCCCCCAGGGCTAAGGCTGCTCACCTCAGCTGAGCCGTCCTTTCCAGACCCTCCGGGCTCAGTTTGTCCCGGGAAAGCAGGTTGCTGAGCTGCAACTCCTGGTTGTCAGCCACTCGGAGCAGCTTCCCAAGCTCACCCCTGGTCTGCACCTCCGCCTCCTCTGGGGTCAGCGCAGGCACAGCAGGTGGGTACCCCGTATAGAAGGAACCGGTGGGTGAGGGGTACATGCCGTTTGCTCCAGGCATTTGGTAGTTCACACCGTAAGGGTAAGGGTAACGCGTGGTGGTGCTGGGAGATTGGTAGAAGTATGGGTTATCTGAATTTTGGAACTTGTAGTAGGCCATTGTTGCATTTTGCTGGGAAGTATGATAGCCATGATAGAGCTCCCCCTGGTGAACAGGGGGACTTCCTGCAATTTCATCATCTGTATCCAGAAAGTGTAGCTGACCAAAGTTGCCTTGACCTTGCTGTTGTAGGTGCAGTGGCTGCTTTAGGCCCACATGCTGAGATTGATGACTGTGCACCAGAGCTGGTTTCTGATCGGGGTTATTTGGGTCCCACAGTCTCCTGGTGGCCCCACCCCGGCCTCCTCTTCCACGCACAGGACCCGCTGACCCTCTCCCTACTCCAGTCAGCTGCCTGGGGCTAGACTCTGGGGGCATGGTGAGGTCAGTACGAGTAGGGAGGACAAGAATACCCCTCCCCCTCCCTCTGCTCCCTCCCTCCTGTCTCCTGGACAGGTCGTCACCTGCTGTTGTGATGGACTGGGGAGGATCAGGCGGTGGGACAAGAAGTGACCTCTGAACACCTTCACTCTGTCCTCCAGCACCTCCTCTGCTACCCCTTCTGTTCACACCAAGTCTCCTTTCAGGACTCCAGGGGTCCTCCCTGTGCCTGTCACTATCTCTTAGCCTCCTCCCCCTGACATTATGCCCAGTCTCACTCTCCTCAAGGGAATCCGTAGAGGAAAAACCTCTGCTGATGTTATCCCGCTGCTGCTTGCCGCCCCAGTCCAGCCTCTCTCTGCCCTTGCCCTCGCCCTGATCTCGTGCCATTGCCAGATGACCCCTTCTTCTGGCCTCCTCGCCTGGCCCATCCATACTGGTTCCACTGCTGGCTGAGCTGGTGCTACAGGTTCTGTTCCTGGGACAACGTTTGCCCGACTTGGAATAACGCTTGGAAACTTGACCAGCCCTACTGCCTCCCCCAAGCGGGAGCCTCCCACCCCCATCTTGGCCTCGCTCTCTCTCTGCGTCTTTTAGTCGCTCTCTGTCACCATCCTTCCCCCCATCTTTTGCTCTGCTTTTCACCCTTCCACTGTCTCCAATCCCATCTCCCCCTCTGCCTTTTCCCTTTCCGTCATCAGGTTCTATTTCCTTTCTGCCCTCCACTTCCTTCCCCCTCTTTTTCAGATCTTTATCTCCCTCTCTGTCCCTCCCTTTACTCCTCCGACTTCCCTTCTCTTTTTTCTCAACCCCCTTTCTGCCAGCTTCCCCTAAACAGCCTCCATTGCCTCCTTCACCTCCCCCCCCCCCGGCTCGGCTTCGCCTCCCCTCACCCGTCCTCCGCCTACTGCTCCCTGCGTTGTCCTCCTCTCCCCCTCTCTTCCCTGCCTTCTTGGCCTCATTATCTCCTGTCTCTGACATCTTCATGCTTTCCAAACTGCCGGTCAGATGGTCCACTGCGATGCTGACATCTGTAGGTGGGCAGCCAACTTCTCGCCTGCTTTTGCTCTTCTTCTTGGGTTCTTCCTCACCAGGTCCAGATCTCTCTGGCTCTTTGATCAAGGCTGAGTCCTTCACACCCTCACGGCTGTGCCCCTCGGGGTGAGAGCTCTTCTTAGGTTCCTCTCCTGTTTCAGTTTTCTCTGGCTCTTTGCTCAAGGCCATTTCTTTACTGCCTTGCTGCTGCTGTAACCTTCCCGCCCGAGGCTGGTATATCTCACGGTCAGGTTTGCGAATTCGGCGACCTGGCTTTGGTGAAGTGGACCCACAGGACAAAGTGGAAGCCAAAATCCTTGAATTTGTCACCTGGGGTTGTTTTGGTGGCTCCCCAGAGCGGCTGCTAGTGTCAGTGCCAGCAGGACTGGTACAATGGGAGGTGTCCGGTTGACGGCCAGGATCCACACAATGATTAATACTTTTCAGTGGCACAAACTCACAGTCACTTCTGCATTTGGTTTCAGGGTAATGCTTAGAGCCAGCAGGAAGGCTACTGGAGACAGCGAAACGAGAAGTACCATCATTTACACTCCCACAATCTCCATCACTTAGTGCACTGTCTGGGGTCTTTGGCCCTTCACTAAGTGCACAGTCTTGGGTGTTTGGCGTAGCAACATTTTGATCTCCCTCTGGGGCAGACTCTGTTTCCATTTCCATGTGCTGAACCGATGAGACATCCTGTTCTGCCTCCGCATCCTTCCCAGGACAGCCTTGATGTTCCGAGGGCTTGTCCCCCTGAGCATCTCTCTCCTTGTCAGCACTGCACGTGGGGGTATCTTGGCAATGCCTGTCCTGGCCCATGCGTGGCCGGTACAGCTGGATATCAGGTCTCTTCCCCTCAAAGGACCGTTGACTGGGGTTCCCCTCAGATGCATCTGAAGAATGAGCAGGCAGCAAAATATTAATTCAACAGCTTAGCTGACATTATCATCCAGAGTTACTCATAAGGCTGGATATTTTACTGGGGATGCTTAGGTTAGGTCCCATGCCTAGGTATTTTACAACATGCTCCTATTAGATGTGAACTGGCAACTTTCAGGTTGCATATTCCATGTCCTTAAAAAGAACAACTAGACTGGAGTCTATCCCAGAGGCTACGGGCGCAAGTCAGGGAACAGCCCAGGATGGGGCACCAACCCACTGCAGGGCACTATATACTACCTCATTTAAGAAAAGTGTTTGTATTTCAATATTCTCAACAGTTAGGTGGAAAACCACAGGATGCTGTGGAAATTTTAATTTTATTTTAGTGTTCCCAAATGTTGTGGAGTGTCTAAAGCAGCCCTAGGCTACAGTCACTTTTGACAAAAATTGACCAGACACCATCTGCTTTTCTATAATAAATACAGGTGGCCAAATTCTAACCTAAGACAAAACAGCACAGGCACAGTCAAAGGCACAACACCTAGCAGCACTCACACGTCAGGCCAGCGGGAAACTGAAATGAAACATTCAGTCCCTACTAACCTGTTACGCTAATGACGATACTAACGGGGGCACAGGATGAGGGGGGAGGATGCTGGGCAAGCGATTCACAGACTGCACAGCTTACACCTTCACCCACTGAGCAGACAAATGAGCACCGAAGCAACCTGAAAACTGTACAGTGACTCACCCAGCTGTCAAAAACACATTACATGAAGAGCTTAAACTGCTTCCTTGGTGCCTCCCTAAAGATGTCCAGCTATATGCTTCAAACTGAATTTTATTCAAACCAAACTAAAGCTTGTTCCTTTTCTTTAAATTAGGAAGCACAATGAAGCAAACTGCAATGCACAATAAAGCACTTTCAGGGCTTCTTAAAGCGGAAAGCTCAAATACCAGCAAAATAGAGTAATTTTTTTCTGGTATTAAATGAAATTTAAATGTGGGTTTCAGATGGAAAAAAGAAGTAAAATACAACCTTGTCATGAACACATGAAACACCCCTATCTCTGCTACACAAACCCAGCTTACTTTAACGTAAAAAAAGAAACTTTTTCTACACTGAAGCCAAGTGATGCTGATGTTACTTGCATTTCAATTAAGATAAATGCATTGAATTAAAACTCAATATGAGAGAAAACAAGGGTTTGCATTGATTTGCGGAATGAAAAAAAATCAGCTAACGAGTAGTTTACAAAAATCTTACAAACATCGCTTACGTCACTCTGCCAACGCCACCGTTATGTCCCGGGTGTAAAATGAACTGCCTGCCGTCTCGCTGCTTGGGTTACGTTAGGCTAGCTAAGCTATGCTTTAACGCGTGTCAATACGATGTGGTGAGTTAGCGTTACTCATGTAAAAATACAGCGTAACCAGTGTTATCAAACTATTGTTTAAATGATTGAGCTGTTCTGTAAATAGTGAGGGAGTCTCTTTTTTACGGCTACTCAGCAGAGCGCCGGGTATTTGAAAACCACGAAGTTGGCGCCCGGACGCTTTCGGCCTGTCAGGGAAAGGTGGACGTGGGGGGTCCGTTCGCATCACCGCCCAGTTTCCCCGGTTCGGCAGAACCTTTCCGTGGCCCTCTCTCTATACGGGGAGTGGGGAGGTCATTTCGCACAATTTTACCGACACACTGCGGAAAGGCTTACTTTGCTTACTTTGTTCATTTCCCCACACCTCCACCGTCAATGCTAACTCACTTAGCAACCACGCTAAGTTGCCTGAACAACCTGAGCCGCTCAAACTGTCCGAGGAGTCACTTCCCGCGCCTTATTCCAATGGACCAGGCAGCAGCTCCTCACCCGTTGACTCTCCCGCTCCGTGGTTCTGCTCGTTGTTAGTCAGGCTGGTCACCGTGGCTCGCAGCTCCGCGGCTGAGATCCGCACTCTGTCGAGCTCGTCCGCCATCTTCACCATCGAACCCAAACAAACGGCGGCGGCGCTAGGCCAAAACACCGCACGCGCGCCCTCGTGAGCCGAACTGACTGCGCGTTTGAAAATAGCACAGCAGCATGAGCGCGTACTCATCTTGCACTGTATTACTTTACTTTACATCATTTTACTCCGTAAAATACGCCGGTTATCGTGTAGGATTTATCACGCATTTACCTTGGTGTATGCTGTATTTGCCAAAACTATTGATAAAGTTACAGAGGAAGTATTCAAGTTTGCCGCCGTTCTTTTTAATGCTTTGAATTTAACGGTATGCATTTAATTTTATTAATAAATTTTGATTCGCAGATACATATAAATTTGCAGACAATGAAATTGTGATTGAAAGGTAACTTGGGGAGTGGTGTACGACTCGGTAGGTGTCTGTACCTGTGATGGGAAGGTCATATCCCAGGGGCGGCAGAGTGATGTCACCATTGGGCCCCTAAGCAAGGTCCTTAACCCCTGTTGCTGTATAACAATGCTTTCTCAAAAAAATGTGATTACTTTGAATAAAAGAGTCTGCTAAGTAAATAAAATGTAACTGTTTAGGTATTTTTAGTGGCTACTTGCTTGGGCTATACACTCTCAGAAAAAGTACAATTACTTTTCACTGGGGCTGTACCTTCAAAGGTGTGTCAATTATACCTTATAGCTGTAGGTAAATGTACCTTTTAATGTATATAAATGGACTCTGAGGAACAATTTTGTACCTAGGAGGGTACATTGATGCTGTTTGCACCTTTGGGAACAAAACTGTACCAGGCCTGTACCTTTTTTTCTGGCAGTGTATATTTATCATAGGTAACAGAATCACACTGAACTGTTCAATCGCCAGTATGTTTCTGTGCATCGTTATTCTACTTAATTCGGTTATAGTTAATTGACCAAAACCATTAATAGTTCATATACACAAGATGATCGTGTGATTGATATGGCCAATAAGTTGAACAAATTAGTGCGATTGAATGGTATAAAATCAAATAAAAGGAAAATATAGCCTACTGATTTTTACTGGGACAGATATGCCTGGAGTGCCTGAATATTTTGTTGTATTTGAAACAGGATAATAAACACTGATATTTTTTAAAAACACCCAGCTCCCTGGGCGCCGCTACGGGTGGCTGCCCTTCGCAGACAGCTTGCTCCACAAAGAGCAAGTTGGGGGAGGCGTAAAAACAATTTCCCCACGGGGATCAATAAAGTACCAATTATTATTATTATTATTATTATATATTAAGATAGAACAAAACATCTCTGAGTCAAGGTGTGGCACAGTACATAATTCATTACAAGGTGAAAGAATGATGCTACGGGATTAATTATAATATACAGAGTTTAAAAGTCATTCTGAGGTAGTGAGTGTGTGACATCTAGCCACAGATGGTGGCATAAAGGATGTCATCGTTTGGAAAGGTGAAAGGAAGATATCGCAGTTTAGAAGAACTGGCATTTTCTCTCAAGGTTAGCTAGGGCACATAATACAAGACTGTCTGTGGTGTATGTGTGTGTGAGTCATCTCAGTGACTCATGTAGTGTATGTGTGGGAAACAGTGATTTGCTCGGGGGGGGGGGGGGGGGGTTCAGTACAGATATCGTGTATAAAGAATAAAAGAGTAGTAACGGTGTAAAGGAATAGGTGGGATAAACGGTATATGTTCACACATCGATCCCTTTTACTAATATGCATTTGTTCCAATACATTTTGTAGAGAACATCGGATTAATGATCATTGTTTAAAAAAAAAAAAACAAGCATGATTTTCTTGTTTATTTTTATGCATTTATATTTAACCAGTAGATGGCAGAAATGTGCAGATCCTGACAGGGACCAAACTCAAGGTGCGATAGGCCTATCTGTCCGTCCATCGATCCATCTCTTCTTACAAGAATAATAGATTTATGTAATGTGTTGACTGCATGCATTTTATTTTCAGTCTTTTTTTAGTCAAAAGTAACAGGATGTCTTCAGAATGGGAGGCAGCCAGAGTCACAGTTATGAAATACTAAAATACAACCTATAACCAATGACAGTTCTTCCAGCGCCGTGTATATAAGCTGCAACTAACAGTGAAGTTTTTAAATGCAAAAAAAATAAAATAAAATAAGATTCTTATTAAGTAAAGGTCTGTGCTGGACAGAGCTGAAATCCTGCATCACTGTAGTCAGTCAGCAGAAGTTCTCTCTGAGTCAGAGAATAGACAAGATTCCCTTCAGCTGCACATCTAAAGGCTGCAGTTGCAGCTGCAGGCGCTGACAGAACTTTGAGGACGCAGGGAAGCGCCTTGGCAGAGACACTGTGTCTAAGAAGTGGGCTGTTGACAGAATGAGAGGAGATAAAGCAAATAAGGATTTAATGTATCAATTAACTGGTCATTTGTTCTCTGTTGAAACAAACCCACAAATCTTGGTAGTATCAGCAATATCTATCAACTATCTGAAAAACAATGCAGTCACTGACTAGGTAAAATAGCCAATAACCAAAATAGGCCCTATATTTGTAAGAGCACATGTAGCCAATGAAAATCCTAAGAAGGATGACGTGCATCATCACTGGATTCCTGTCTGTTGCTAACAGGAGGGAGGGTGTTATTAGCAGATGTGGGGGGGCAGGACTTGGAATGCAGATAAGTAGGCAGGATGGTTCAGCAGGTAAATTCTGAGTCCTGTGAGGCCACCTGCACACCCCCCCCCCCCAGCTAACTTTCCCCGAACAAACCCTCCACCTTATCCAGGATGACTTTGCAGCACGCTGGCAGACATTAATTGGACAGGTAACGGAGAAGGAGACCAGGAGACAATGGTGGAGGGGTGCAGAGTGCCAGAGAGATAGGAGACGTGAACAGAAAACAATAACAATACATTAGTTTTATGAGAAGGAACACAGCAGGGTTAGCTATAGACATAGAAAGAAAAAATGGGACCAGCCAATCAGAAGATAGGGGTCATAGAAAATTCCAGTAAGGGGAGTTAAAAAAAAAAAAAGCCAGAGTATCTGATCTTTTACCCGACGGGACTTATTTTACAGTGGAGAGGAGAGGCAGCGAGATCTGCAGAGGCAGTGTGGGCTGCAGAGGCAGTGAGATCTGCAGAGACAGGGAGGCAGAGCTGGCTAGGACAACGCCTGAAAGAGGATGTTTTATCAACGGGCTGCTCGTTAGTTTGTACAACCCACCCCAGGCAGGAGTAAGAGCACTGCGAGCACTGCACCAACTCCTGATGGACAGGCGAAGGGAAGGCTGGGAAGTGCTTTGTGAGGAGGGGGAGCCCCCTCGTCAGCACTCAGAGTCCAATGCAGGCTCGCTGCTAAGCTGTGCTTTTAAAATCCACTGATGCACTCAGTTAAAGGTCCAAACACAACATGTGGGCAGGAGGGAAAATACTGCCAGACGGTGCACCACAGCCGGCTGCTGCTCCCTGCTGATTGGCCGGCCGGCCAGATTGACACCAGTTAAGCCTCTCGCATTGGTTACAGTGAGACACAAAAGGCAAGGTCATGGTGGCATCGCCTGGTGGTAGCACGCCGTCTGAGCTGGAGACAGCAGTTCTGGGAGCAATGACGGCAGAGGCGGAGGCGAAGAAGGAGGTGATGACAGCAGGGGTGAAGCGTCTGCCTGAGAGGACTGGCAGGGTATGGATCAGAAAAGCGGGGTGGGCCACGATCGTCTGGCGGGGGCCGTCAGATGGGAGCAGCAGAGGGTCCAAGCCCTGGTTCCTTTTGTCTGCCAGTCGACATGCAGGGAATCGTCCCAGAGCATCACAAGCACCCCCCCTGGGAGGTCCCAGGGAAATCCTTACAGCTATGTAGCACATTCAAGCATGAATCACTGTGAATCAGATTCAGAAAGAGCAGAGCGAGTGAGGGGATGAAGGTGAATGCTGGACTGAGAGGAGCTTATAAAGACCAACGAGCAAATGTAAGAAATGTTGTTTTAAATATGAAGGGCTTCGCAATGCATGAACACACACAACACTCTTCAAAGTTGTTCATTGGATGAGACTAAATACAATTGCCAAATAAAGTGGCTAATCTCCACAAAATTACCCTCATCTCTCCGTGTTAATTGCTTTTTCAAAAGTTTTGATAATTCTAAGCACCTTTTAAAGGTCAGTAGTCCTGAGTGGGCACCATAAGAATAGGCATTGATCATCTTCTGTCTTAATGCCAGCTGATGAGGCTGCCCCTGGTATTACACGCATGTGTGAAAGCGGCTCATACGAGGTCTGCTGGTCTCCACGATCACGGCAAACACCCACTCCCTGTACCAGGGGCGCACGTACCTTCTCCAAGGGGCATGCTGGGAAATATGCATGAGTCAGAGAAGAAGGTGTGGAGACAGAGGAGTCTTTTTATCAATCCAATCTCTTCAAGCACAGTGGCGAGAAAAACAAGGAACAGAGAAGTAGAAACGTTTTCCTGTCACCCACTGACAGAATGTAGGTGATGTAAAGCTGAATCAAAATAAAATACACATTGTAAATTAATTTTGAAGATGAAATACTGACAAGAGACTGATTCAGACACACTCAGTCGCAGTGTAGAAACATTAATCATTACCGTTTAATGATTAATGCGACTCAAACAAACATCATTGGATTTATATAATGAAAGCATTCCAGATGGACTTTGTGTTGGTTTTGTAAACAGGAGGGGTGTGCAGGAGAGATGTGGGGTGGCGGGGGGGTTGAAAACAATGCAGAACAAGTGAGATCTGAGAGCCAAGGCTACCGTTGACAGAGAGAAGGAGAGGTGGCAAGGCGCAGGAATGACTGTGTCCGAGAGAGGGGGAGTGGGTGGACGGGGTGGGTGGAAGTGAGAGGGACGGAGTGAGAGGGAGGGAGAGAGGGAGAAGGAAGGATGGAAAGAAAGAACGAAGGATAGATGTTGGCAATTTCACAGCAGCAGCTCAGTGGCGTGGAATGGTGATTCATCACTATTGTTACTCAGTGCATGCTGTCTATAATTACGGATGTGAGTGTGTGTGTGCATGCTTGCAGGGGGTGGTATATTTACTGTAGAATATCCACTCTCTCCTTCCCCAGTACACACTGATTTCTACAGTCATCATCTTTTGCTCAGAGTGTAAAGCACATGTGCATTTCTGCATGCATGAATCAGCCAGCCTGCACACGCATTCACACGTTCAGCTCATCCCTTATTCCACATTTTACCTGAAACCAGGAGAGGAACACGTGTAGCGTCTTTTCTAAAACTGGTAACATTCAGAAAAAAATACCCGGGAGAAAAATACCAGCAGTCTGAAGCTGCACCCACACACTGCCCCTGCTAAATTCTGTTCTATCTTTTATTTCTGATGTAAATGTTTACGCCAACGACAGCAAAACAAACCTCCTCTCATCATATAATGCGTGACGTACGTAGCTGCAGATCTGAGCTGTAATGCTATAAAAATACATTTGTGATTAAAAAGTCTCCTCTAAGGAATTGCGTTGAACTCGCCGCCTGTGCTACATAAATGACTGTTCATGACACGGTCCTGCAAGAAAGCCGGCTTTTACCTGCCTTAAAGACTCATATTCTGCTGCCTGCACTGAATTTTTAATTCAATTAACAACTACAGCGTCGCATGTGTGACTCGAATGCAATGGTGCCTCCATCTTTTACTCAAAGATCATAAACGTGCGTCCATGATGTAGAACGACACTCAATGAATTTGTAACAGGTACAAACTTTCCTGTGGCAGAACACGTATTTTGTGGGGCCTATTAACCTTAAACTGATTCGGACTTCACAACACGGACTGACACAGCCAACCGTGACACACACACACATTATTGTAGCCCTATATTTATGAATTTTCTTATTTCCTGTCTGAATGCATGTTATATTTGGTGATATTGTCAAGGGCATAAGTTTGGTTTCAGCATTGGTGGGGATCAAATCAGCCCCGAAACCCCCCCAGCCTCCAAAACACACGCTATTACCACGGTATCGGCGAGGAGGTGTCCGGACTGTGCGTAAACGAGTCTACGTCCTCACACAGAAGCTAGCACAATGTGACAGAAAGCCTCAGTCACCATTTTAACTTAGAAACAAAAAACAAAACATACAACCAAAAAGTCACGGTATGTTAGACTGTGTGCACTTTCTTTTGCAATATGCAGTTTACCAGTGTTTTTTTAAACCGGTGAGGATACTTTTAATGGGGGCGGGCTCCATGGAAAACGGCAAGACTTACTGACAAATAAATGTGTTCGAATATGTTCAAAAACACCAATTAAAAGCGAATCATCCCCAGTTCCGGAAGGGCCGCCCAAACGGATCGGGAGGACGCCGATTGAGGAGGGATTTCCAACTTCAGCTAGTCATTTTCTTTTACATATAACTATACAATTTATACAGTTGTATCGATTGAATATTATTGCAGAATGTGTAGGTTCTTTTGCCTGGCCGAGGGAACCCCAGTAAAAACAGCTCATCATCACATTTTGAAGCAGACCCCAAACTGGATGAATACCACCGCATTTCTTGCACCAATGCCAGTGGCCATTTGTAATTCATCTCGGAAGATTTCTAATACAGAGTGAAGAAGCTTCTAGACTAACTGTCATGTTTCCTTCAAACACATATGTGAACTAGCCTTCTATATATATATATATATACACACACACACACACACACTGTGTGTGTGTGTGTGTATAAGGACATTTACTGTTTCAGGGTGAATCATGCGTGATAACCATATTTATATTTTAATACATGTCACGGAATGTTTGCATTAGTTTATGGAAAAAGTGACGTTATATATGCTACCAGGAGACAATGAACTATCCCGTCGGCTCCTCTGCTCTTCTCTTTCTGTCTGCATCATCTATCTCCAAGGCGCACGTGCTGAACAACATGAATTTTTAAATTATATGGGTGTATTATGGTACTTCTGTTAAAAATCTATAGAATAGCATCTCTTTTTAAGTAAACTAAAGGACGGCACTGTGTCTCAAGTTGCCTCACGTATTCGGGGTTGTAGGTTCGAATCCCACTCCTATGTGCATGTTCTCCATACACATGCTGCACGATTTTGCTTTCGCAGTTCAAGACGCGAAGCCAGGCGAATTGGCGTCTTCCATCGGTGCATGTGTGAGCCTTGCGATGAAGTGGCATCCTGTCCAGAATGTGCTGCTAAAGAAACAGTTTCCTGACGGATAGCAGCAGGATAACAACGAATATATCTGTATCACTGACAGATAATCGTTATGAATCGTTATCTCTCACCTCACAACAGGTTTCTTGGGCGAATTTGAAGCTTGCGCGTAATGAACGTTATTTAAGTGCCCTCCTAGCGCATTACTGTTCCACTTATGAAAAGACAGCGTGCGCGTCTCGGTCTGACGTATCGATGGGAGTGAATGCGTACAAGGCCAAACCCCAAAATCGCCATTCTGGGTTAATCCTCTGACGATTTGCCACATATAAACCAGGCGAATATCAACATTTTCGTGTGCGCGAAAATCCAGGATTAAGGTTTTCCCTTAATCCCCGAGGACGTAGGCCAATAAATAACCAGACAGTATCTGTATGATTTTCAAAGAGTAGTCTTACTTCAGATTTCCGATTGATTGAGACAAAATTGAAAACTCGGACAGCACCTGACAGAGTTTGAGCGTATATAGTGTGTTTTATTTTTATTTTTTTTAATTTGGATGAATAATGTAAATGCAAAATTAAGTAAAATTATTTTGGCAGGCAAAAATAGCTAAAAAATATCATTCAGTCGATTAAAATAATTACAGGTAACTGACTGAATTAAGTTGTTCTTTACATCCGTTTGTGTTTTTTTAACAATGTGTTACCGGCGCATGTTCCATCTCCCTTTTCTCCGCTAGGAACCCTGGCATTATTAATAGCATCGTCTTCAGTCGACTAAAATTCCTCTGTGACGTAGAAGGCCACGTACAGCTCGGCGATGCTTTTCGTGAATGAGTCCCCCTCCCATACCGCTTACTAGTAGTACAGGATCTCTATAAAAAGCTTGCAATTGGAAACTGTCTCAAATTCTCAAGTTTCCACAAGGCAGATATAGAGACGCGAGGATAAAATAGAGGTAGAACCCGGGAAGCAGAGCCAGAATATACAGTAATGCTGCGGCGATTCTCTGGTTATAACACAATATCTTTAACATCTATTTTTCTTAACCGAAATAATACGAATAGTGTCACTGTTTCTTGCAAAGAGAAACAGCATATTTCTCCTCTTTGGAACTCAAAAGGAAACGGAGGTAAGTTCCTATGGCGTTAATTTTATTTTTATTCTTCCAGCCAATTAATATTTCGTCAGTGTGACGTTATTTACAACATACGATAAGTGTGATATATGGTCATAGGTTAGCATATTAATATGTTAAAATATGCAATATTTGCATAGATGTAATGACCTGTTCTAAACAGAAAGATGCTTATTTTGTGCTGCGTGCCATTTCGTGGGAATACGGGGGATTGCGGAAGACCTCAGAGTTACTGCAGTGTGACTCACTTTGGCGCACATGGAAAGCGGCCGGTTTAGAAAATGAGGGAAGAGCCTTGTGAAGAACGTATTTAGCATTTTAAGGCTCAGGTTTGAACTCCTTAGCGAGGTATTCACTGTATATATTAAATTGCTAGTTGTAAAAAATGAAAATCTTGGTTAGTTTGATAATGGCCGAGAGTGCCGCTCAAAGGTCAATGTTGCTGGAACCTTTGAAGATCGTGGAGCACGTGGCGATCGTAGGTCTCTGTAATCTTCAGTTATTCCATCCAGTAGCTATTAAAGATAAAAATTATATTAATATATGTCAAAGTCGCCAACCGGCGTGTAGCCTAAATATTGGTAAATTATGCAGCTGGGTTAAATCTACTAAAATCTCAGTTTCTGGTAAAACTTGTGATTTCTCCGGGGAACTATTTGTAATTTCAGCTATGTGGATTGCATAGAGGCATTTTTAAGGAAACCCCTTTTGCGGTAAAATACAGAGTTCAGCGACAATACTGCTAATACTGTCACGGAATGACAATATGTTTCACTTTAATTTAGCCTCCTTCCATTTAAACGATCCAGTTTAGACTATATGCGCTGCTTGAAATTGTACGAGTGACGCATGAAAAATGTAAAATTCGAATAAAATTTCGTAACGACTTAGAGGTAATTTTACGGAAGATTCTGAAAGCACAACTGTCGTCCCCATTAATCGCCGCCCTAAGAGCTCCCATTTTAAATCCTTTTTAACCGGCTCGAAATTGCACCTGCCATCAACTATATTTGCCCTGACATACATTTTCCCCACCCTAACGTCGATCTACTTTTATACAATTGGCATGACAATTAAAATAATTTCTAAAATTCCTTTCCCCCCATACAATTTCAGCTGCTTAATGTTTGCCCATAAGACATTAGTGCTGTAGTCAGTCTCTAGTTAGCAAACGGCGAGATACAAAGCACTGACGTCTCTTTATACCAGTAGAACACCGACTGCGTATTTTCCTGTGCATATCCGTGCCTCGTCTGAATGATTTCCATAAGAAACGCATACTGTCGCGTTGCTAAAAATTAAAGTAAGACATAGATTCACTTGTAAACGTTAGAGTCGCCTCGTTTAAAATCAGCGGTTGTCTCCCTACCTGTCAGCCTATGTGTAGTCATTCAAAAGGCAAATACGACAAAATTGTGTATACTCCATAATACTTAAAATATCGCTATGAAAACGTGACTCTAGTTGTTGCTTTTCATTCCACTAAGAACCGAAGATTTGCATTTCTACATAAATTGACTTTTACTAAGATAACAGAAACGGAGCCATCAGCTGGGAAACCTACTGTATCTATAATAAATCCCCCCTAACCGCGCTTCCGGTAGCGCTCCGTAGCAGGATGTGTCTAATTATGGGCTTCTGCCTTTGTCCTCCTTTTCCACTTATCATGGGAAGTTGTCTACCGGTAGTTCTTTTCTCTTTGTAACCCCGAGTCAGGTTTCGTATATATTTTTTAACTTGTTTATCCCATGTAGGTTAATTGCCCTTTTTAAGAATTGAAATTCAGTCACGTGTTCCCGGAGGCTGAAGTCAGTTCTGCGTCATACTTGCGCACTATGCAGACGATTTGCACTCACCCATTGTATCCCCTTAAAGAGGCAGGCCTCACTCGCGTCCCCATATCCATCAACCGCATTGCGAAGTTCGCGCGGGGTGCCAGGGTTGCTAAGGGTGGGGCGGGGGGCCGGGGGGGGGAGTTATGCGTGGGCCATGTGAGATGTTCCTTGGGTGTCTCTTCAAGTTAGAAACTGTTAATGGCGTTTCGTTTAACCATTTATAATAAGCAGTTAAGGATCTGAAATTAACACACTGTAGAACTGTCCTACCTCCACAAGAAATAGCCATATATTGTTCTTGTAATGTTAATGGAATGGACGAAAAGATATGTGGGTTTGAGAATGTGGACATGTATTGCCGCTAATTAGCTTTAATTATCTGCAGGTGACGTCACGTGTTTAAGTTTGAGTTTTTTTACTTGCAGTCTCCGATCTTATGATTCAAATATAAAATATTAACAATTTTATCCGTGCATGATAATGACGCTATATTGACAAACTATTTTGTCCATACCGTTGTCACTCTTTTCCGAAAATTTCACATGTTTTTAACCGGTGACGACGAACACAAGTCCATCCGGAATCGAATCCCGTGGACCCAGTAGGTCTCCTGTTCAGAACCATGGACAGCGGCCTCTTGCGTTAAAATGGCATTACTGAATACAAGAAATCTTACTTTAAACAGGCGAAAGATATTCTGATATAAGTACGGTACAATTAATGTAGGTTTTGTTTATGCCTATCTGGAAATTCAGAGTCAGTTCGCTGCAGCTAATGAAATACAGCCGGCCTGCTTTGTACGGCAATTTAGATGTGCTACCACATAATCTAGTTACTTGGGTTGAAAAGACAGTAAGTGATTTTGCAATGATAGTGCTTAGAGGATGCAGATGACTGCGCAGTGATTTTTCCTTGATCAACCCAATGATTAAAAAAAAAAGTGTTAGGGGGCGTCATACACAATAACGTAATTTCCGTATTTTTTGTTCTTTCACTGCGGCTGAAAAATTGTGGTCATGTGACTGTCCAGATTCTCCTTCTAATACGTTGTTTATTTGCTACTGGGAAAGTAGATTCCCAATGAAACAAATATATGGACAGGAAAACTACCTCCACTGGGCAGCCCATTTTGAATTTAAACTTGCTGCTCAGGGACATCTGGGAAATGAAAGAATGAAGGAGATCATGAGTCAAAACTGTTTAAAGAACAAGCCGGGGGCTTGTTTACCAGTAGTGCATGAAAACACCTGATGTTTGAATAAAGCTGGACATAAAAATCTGATTTTACAGTAAATCTTTTTAATGTAGCTGTGGACAAGGGAGTAGGACAGTTTGATATTGGGGGGCGGGGGCACAACTTAATAATTTAATAATGTAAAAGTCTGCTTTTTTTGGGTGGGGGGGTGAATGAAGCCAAATTAAATATTGGGGGCTACACCCCCCTCCCCCCAGTTCCTACACCCCTGGCTGTGTAATATATCTTTTTGGATGTTTTAAAATGTGCAAAAGCCCCCCGTCCACTATTTTCCCAGAATCCCATGTATCTCTCAACTGGCTGACTGCTGCTGGTTTTCACAGTAAGGATTTATCACGACCCATCAAACGTATGTCAACAGCTGTTTCTCTGCCATCTTGGACACATTAAAAATGTGAAAGCCATGGAGATTAACTTACCGTATCTCAGTGTGGGATGGAGTTCCTCTATGGCGTCTGTGTCACATTGGAGTTTCTGTACAATAGATGATAAACAGACTGAAAAGCTTTCTTCCATTTTCCCTGTGCATCACTGCAGTACAGTGAGCCTGGTCCCTGTGACCTGCACAGCTGCAACACGTGTGGTTTGCAGGTCTCTGCCTGTAGGGGGCAGGCGTGAAGCCAGCGGTTACCGAGCGAATTGGATCATGTTCTGCTGCTAATGGAGTGTTAGTGTGGAACAAAGCTTCTCTGTCAACACAGCTCGTGCTTCTTTTCATGAAGAGCGGCAGTGAATGACGTTTTGTTTGACAGTGCTGCTGGCTCGCAGTGTGAGTTTGAGAGACAGCACCATCAACAACGGGAGGAGCGCGGAAGCTAGACGGGTATCTGTCATGGGGATGCGGCCTCCATGGCATGTCTAAGGCAGTTGGTGGCCCGTCTCCCAAGCCGCCATGACAATGGTCAGCGCATCAACACCTTGGCTCTAGACTGCTTACTGCTAAGACTGTTTGAAAGCACAGTAACAGTCTACAGTCATGGCTACTGATGCCTGGCAAGCCGCTGCGGTCTTCCTGAGGCACCAAAGAGCAGGAGCAGACCCTGAAGGGGGGAGGAGGTGCTGTCACAGACGCCCCCCCCAGCAAATCCTTGGTCAGACCCTGGCCAGATCCGGTCAGTTCCCAAACTAGAGACGTAACCACCAAAGAGAAAAAGTGTCTCCCTGAAATCCCCATTTTGAAGTCGACTGTGCCTCAGCAAACAGATCAGTCAGACGGGCCGATCTTCCAGCTCTGCAACCAACCTGCCTTTCCTGCTGTCTCCATGGTGACCGTGGCTTTAGATTGTTACTGTAGCAACCGCACCATAGTAACAGTCTACAGCCATGGTCGCTAGGGGGCAGGATCCACAGCAACAGTAGGGTTGCACTGCTACTCTTGGGAG